AAAAAGATGTTTAACACCTCAATGATGAAAAATTATAAAAACTTGACTGAAGGTCCTTAAAGAAAGTCTAAAAGTAAACTACGTGTCAGGTTTATGGATAGAAGAGACGGTATCACAGGATGTCAGTTTTTCCCAAACTCATCTATTATTGGATACAATTCAGTAAAAACTCCAACAGGTTTTTAACAGAAATTGACAAAGCTAATTCTGAATATATGGGAAATCAGTGCTCAAAAATAGCTCAGACACTTCTGAAGAAAAACAAGATGGTTGGTAGTCTTGCCCTGGCATATATTAAGGCATATCATAATTAGGATAGAATGCAGAGGTAGACAAATCAGTGTAACAGAGAGACTAGTAGAGAAACGATGGATGGTTCAGTACCTGCATTTAGGACAGTATGCAGAGGTAGACAAACCAATGCAACAGAGGGATTAATAGAGAAAAGATGGACTGTTTAGTACCCACATTCAGTGAGTCCCTGGGCTCGTAATACTTTCGTGTGTTTTTTAGAGATTGTTCCAAGAAGTGTGCTAGGCCCTGGCAGTAAAGTGTAGGATTTCACAATTGCCATCGTACAAGTTGTATATCTAGAGTTTGGTGCCTCTAGCTCTCCATGAACTTCTAAAATTACATGCAAAATTTTATACTAATTCTTCTGGATGGTGTTCATCAGATTCTCAAAGGGGTTCTTTCACACCCCCAAGTGGTTAAAAGGTGCTACATTCTTGACCATTTTATGACACATTTAATTTCTGAGGCCCCCACCGGATGCTATACGATTACCAAAGAGTGTCATCAAAGCTTGGGGTGTAAAGGGCATAAGGGGAGAAGAGCAAGAAGGTCTCTTCAGACAGGTAACGCTTGAGCTGAGCTGAGTGTGGAGTATAGACCATTTATTCTGGCTACAGAGGGAAAAAGAAGGATTCCAGGCCAGGAGAATGATGTGTGCAAAGCCTGGAGACAGAGCCTGGGCCATCATGTAGGGAACTACAACTGTAATTGAGTGGGAATAGTTATAAGGGGAATATAGAAATATGACAAGAAATGAAGCTAGCAAGTTGAGCAGTTACCAGATATTTCAGAGATTTCTATTCTTTTTTTTTTTTTAAGATTTTATTTATTTATTTGACAGAGAGAGAGACAGCGAAGAGGGAACACAAGCGGGGAGTGGGAGAGGGAGAAGCAGGCTTCCCGCCGAGCAGGGAGCTGGATGTGGGGCTCAAACCCAGGACCCCAGGATCATGACCTGAGCCGAAGGCAGACGTTTAACGACTGAGCCACCCAGGTGCCCCCAGAGATTTCTATTCTGTGCTAATGAATAATCTTCTGACATATTTCTACTTTTGAGGAAGCATGTAGGAGTAAATTTAACATGTTTTAGAGGTAGATGTGGTGGACGGGGTTGAGGTAGGTCGAGTCTAAGGTGACTCTCAAATTTCTGATCTAGTCTGGTCCCATCACAACAAAACTTTGCAAACATGGTTGATTTTGCTGTTGTAGTTACTGTTTAGTGGAGGGTAAGAGGAGGATGGTGTGTTACAATTCATCTTTCCATGGTAGAAAATGCTTAGACTGCATTTTGTATGTATGGTATGAATTATGTAGGTGGTTGTAGGTAAACATTTGATTAAGAATCGTTGGAATGTAGGTAGTAATTTGAAGCCGTGGGAAGGATAGATGTTGAAGAATATGGTTTGGTGTGCAGAAGGCCATGATACTTGGAAGGAGTTGCTGTTTTAGGATCTGAGCTGGGCTGAACACCAAGAAGTGGTCAGAGGCTCCATTGCAAACCTACCCTGACATTTTTTCTCCCCTTTCTACCAGCCCCATCACCAGAATGTTTACCATGATAGCCTTGGGTACCATTCATTAACCCAAGGGAACAGGGGATGAAAACTGTAGGTTATAAAGAGAAAGGAAAAGGACGTTCCTCTGGACCACAGGCAGGGGCATTGGAAGAGGGTGGCTGGAGTAGGGAACAGAAGATCTGAGTCCCCACCTCACCTGTTCCATTAACCAGCTAAGTGAGCTCAAGCAAGTCTCTTCTCTTCTCCAAGACCCGATTTCCTTAGCTATACAATGGGTTTGTGAAAACCAGCCTTCACTTACAAGGTTGTTATATGGATCAAAGGCTACCATGGATGATATTCTTTGGTGGAATATAAAGTGCTTTATTGTTATGTTGGTCAGTGGTGGGCTAGAAGGGGGTGGTAGGAGACTCACTACAAAGCCTCTGTTGAATCGAATGCCTAGGGCAGGCTGAAATTCCTTTCTATAGGGTTAAGCCATGCAGTTATCAATTTGTAGAGCAGAAAGAGGCCTGAGAAATGACTTTGTAGCGAGAATGCAGAGATCTGCAAAGTTATTCTGTGATAACATTCCACAGAAATTTCATGTCAGGGTCTACACTGGAAGCCAAGCCTCCTCTCTAGGTGTGAGAGTCATTCTAGCCGAATTTGCACTGTCATGCAGAGGAACCTTCCCAAAAGTCACAAACATATTGATGAACTTAACAGAATCCAAATAGCATGTTGATACCTGAGGTTTTTCTGATCAGGAGTGCTGGGCACTACACAGTCTGGACCAGAGTGTGTTTGTTCTAATGCCAAAGAGGAAAATAATTTGTCTTAACTGACTTACTTGCATTGCTTGCAGCTTTCTTGGAATTACGGGAGAAATCAGTAATTAGCGTTATAGTAGGGACAGGGCCCTGTCAAAATATGAGTTTCTTTTGGAAACGTCCCAGGTGGTTGCCTCCCCGTCCCCGGTTTTCCACGAGATCTTTATAAACATCCTGCTGCGCTCTACTGCTCATCCCGCAGCAGAATGAGGGGTGTTACGTGTGGGATGGGCCTGTACATGAGTGTGGGATGTGAGTGCGGGAGCGGA